TCAGTGGTTAGCTATCATGATCTCCTAAAAATTGTCTTACATTTTATTCTTTTTTTTTTTTTTTTGAGATGGAGGCTCTCTCTGTCGCCTAGGCTGGAGCGCAGTGGCGTAGTCTCAGCTCACTGCAACCTCCGCCTCCCAGATTCAAGCAATTCTCCTGCCTCATCCTCCTGAGTAGCTGGGACTACAGGTGCATGCCACCACACCCAGCTAATTTTTTGTATTTTTAGTAGAGACAGGGTTTCACCATGTTAGCCAGGATGGTCTCTATCTCCTAATCTTGTGATCCACCCGCCTTGGCCTCCCAAAGTGCCAGGATTACAGGCGTGAGCCACCATGCCCGGCCTTACTTTTTATTCTTTAGATTATCCAGTGAAGTCACATGATACACTTATGGGGACTTGAGAGTGTAACAGGGACAGAGGGGTGGGGATGGAGCATTTTCATTTACCTGGTTAGGAGATTCCTCAACCAAACAAGATCTTAACCCCAGCTGCTTCTAAGCAAAGGGAGACCACAGCTGAAATGCAAAGAAATTAGTGAATGTCTACAGGCCTGGATCCAGGGATATTTTCAATAGTCATTATGACTGTGTATGCTCTTTTTGCCTCCAGAACTTCACCCAGTGTAGATGAATAAGGGAAATTCAACATTTCATACATTGTTGCACTAAGTGGCCAAGGTACCTAAAATAGGCAGGACATAGATGAAAATCCAAATTTAGGCTGGGCATGGTGGCTTACGCCTATCATCCCAGCGCTTTGGGAGGCCAAGGCAGGCGTCTCATTGGGTCGAGATGGAGACCATCCTGGCCAACATGGTGAAACCCCGTCTCTACTAAAAATAAAAAATTAGCTGAGCATGGTGGCGTGCGCCTATAGTCCTGCTACTCAGGAGGCTGAGGCAGGAGAATTGCTTGAACTGGGAGGTGGAGGTTGCAGTGAGCCGAGAACACGCCACTGCATTCCAGCCTGGTAACAGAGTGAGATTCCATCTCAAAAAAAAAAAAAAGAAAAGAAAAGAAAATCCAAATTTAGAGTGGGAATTCAGACTCCCAACCTTTAACATGACGACTCTAAGTGTCGTCAATTCTGCCCAACTTTAGACTGTTATTTTGAACCATTCGTTTAGATGTCATCATTTTATGTCATCATATTATTCATCATAATATGTCATATTATTTCAGTAATCAGTAAAATCTCATTTGCTTTCTATTTTGGCTTGAGTATCAAATTGTGAATCTGTCAAGAGAAGTCTAGTTTTTAAATGATATTCATTTGGAAAAGTGTTACTTTCTATCATAGCTATCAGTAAGCAAAGAGATCTCATTTAAACTAGAGCAGTAAACTAAGAGATTCAGTGATACAATTAAAGAGCTTGATCCTGTTTTTAAATATATGTACAAAGATGTGGATCATTATATGATAGTTATCCACTGTGTTTTTATTTATCAATTTGAGGAAATAAACAGATTTCATAATAAAAATAAGCGATTAGTGAACATCAGCTTTTCTTTGTGTTTCAGTAAACAAATTTGCCCTGTTTTGTTCTTTTAAGGCGTTGTTGCCTTGTGGCACCTGGCACAGGTAGATGGCGTTGGCGCTCACCCACTCCTGGCTCAGAAATCTGAATAGGAGACAGGCTGAGAAGAACAGGAAGGACAGAGCCCAGTCATCTGTGCCCAGCTGCCACTGCCACCACCGTTCCGCTAACCAGACTGCTTCCTCCTTTGCAAGGTGCTTGCAAGGGAGTGAGTTCATGTTCCTTGATCTGGAAAGAACAGTTCAAAATAACAGTATTTGGCAGTAGAAAGTGGAATGGAAAGCAGTGACAGCTCCTGCATTGGAAGTCTCTTAACTCTGCAGAAACCTCCAGATACTTAGTTGTTAGGAGTTGCAGCAGATGCCAGAAACAGCGCCTGTAGCTGTCTCCTGAATCCCATCTTCAAGGTCCTGTTAAAATACTATCCTGTCCCCTCCTGAGTCCCAAGAGTCCCCTTCCTCCCGCATCCCCAGCAGCCAAGTCCTGCCTGATGCTGTCTCAGACAGCGCTTGCTCTGTTCTCTCGTGTTTCTCACGTTCAGTCTTACAGGATAGTTACGTGTGCACGTCTCATTTGCAGAGCCCGGCTTCAGATTCCTACACATGGTGGGGACTCGGTGATTAGGTTCTGAATCAGCTGGGTCTGTGTTGTCCAGGTCTTCCAACTCATGGAGTTACCACATGAACTGTTAGAAGATGCAGGCATGCCAAGCACAGCATGGCAAACTTTCAAACCCACTTTCCTTTTACAGGGATAAAAGATCTCTGAATCAACACCAGGCATTTTAAATGAATTCTTTCATACTGTTTTGTTTATTCTTACAAATATCTGCTGGGCGCAAACTGGGTGCTTGACACTCCAAATACGAGAGTCCTCATTCCCAGTGAGAAATGCAAACTCCCAGCGAAGTCAATGCTGCGTGAAAAGTGCTGTAAACAGAGTTCTTAGAAAATAGCCTGAGCGCTTGAAGAAGGGAGTGGTCAGTTCCGACTGGCAGCTCATTCAGGTCATTGTTTCCCAAACTAGGGTCCAAGTTCACTGGATGAATCAAAGGGGAAGTCTCAGAGGTCAGAGTTTTAAGTGCCTGCTTAATGGTATTGGAATCAAACTGAGATTATATAAATAATTAGTGTCCTTCCCCTTCCTCTCTTGCCATTAAGAACTTTTGAACCACCCTAGACCATCAAATAGCTGTGAATAGCGGCTTCTGCAAGACAAACTTTTTTTTTTTTTTTTTTTTTTTTTTTTTTAGGACTCAATTTTGTTCTTGTCCTCCAGGCTAGAGTGCAATGGCACACGATCTTGGCTCACTGTAACCTCCGCCTCACGGGTTGAAGTGATGCTCCTGCCTCAGCCTCCTGAGTAGCTGGGATTACAGGCGCCTGCCACCATGCCCGGCTAATTTTTGTATTTTTAGTAGAGACAGAGTTTCACCATGTTAGCCAGGCTGGTCTTGAACTCCTGATCTCAGGTGATCTGCCTGCCTCAGCCTCCCAAAGTACTGGGATTACAGGTTTGAGCCACTGCGCCCAGCCAAACTTGAATTTTTTTAAATAGCTTTCAAATGATAAAAGAGCACTTAGCAAAAATCCAAGATCAGTTCATTTAGAACAAAAGTTCCAAATGCAGCACAGGATTTGCAAAATAAAATTCTAGTTATGAATAAAACTTCATCTTAGGTTATGATGGTAAAATTCCCTCAATCCTAATATTGTCTACATTGAATCATTCGACAAAGACTTACTGAGTGCCTGGTATATACCACCTCTGTTCCAGGAATTAGGGATGCAGCCTCCAGCTCAGACAGCCTCCTTTGGAGACCTGGACCAGCAAGCAGCAAGATCCAGAAGTCAGGGGGAAAGTCTGACAACCTGGCTCTTACAGTGATATTCAGCAAACATTCAGAGACCGAACATTGAATGCCAAAGTGAGGCAGAGACATGAGATGACTTTCTGGATATTCCAGTTAAAAATCCTGTTTGGAGGGACCAGGCCCAGGCTCCTTCCTGTGACATCCAAAGAACTTAAGCCATGCTCTAAGCACTGTTTACTTTGACCATAGGTGGGGTGGCATGTTGAAAAGTGATAAGACAAAGGCAAAAATAACCATTCTTATTTTCCAGGAGAGAAATTCGTCCCAGATCCTCACATTTCTGATGCGATTTAGAAACTGTAAGGCAGGGCCAGTTTTGCAAAGTGACAAGTAGGGAATCTAAGAATCAGCTTTGATAGCACATCTTAATTCCGTGAGGTTTTCTTCAAACTTTTTTCCTAATAACAGTTTACTAATTGCATTTCTTCATATTAAAGTTATTATTTTACAGCTACCATGTTATAATTAACAATAAACCAAATGACTTAGTAGTGCAGGTTATGACTAATGAACTTTTGTCTGTTCCACAAGAAGTTATTGAGTGCCTGCTATATGCTAGATCCTAGAGATAACAAAGTCTGAGCTTCAGGATCAGCAAGGGCTGCACTCTAATAAATAATTATAATGTAGCGTAAGAAATACAATCATATGTCTGCTAAATGAACAGCGGGAACAGAGAGTGGTAGCTACCTCCACGGGCAAGAAGGAGTTAGGAGATCAATTCATTTGGAAGGCTTTGTAAAGGAAAGGTACAAACTGGGTTGAAAGATAAAAAGGCGAGTTGTAAAACTCATGGCGTGCTGTTGGAGAAGGCGTTCTAAGCACTGAGCGTGTGCGATAGTGTCCAAGTTGAAAGGCGCCTTGGATGTCTTCCGATTCCATATCCCAGTCAGGAAACGCCTGCTAGGGAACATTGGTTTTCCAAGAGTGATCTGGGACATAGTTACATTTTCCTCCCACAAGCAGGGATGGGGAGTGGATTTAAACTGCCTGGGAAACCTGCTCATCATTTTTATGTATCTTATGTATTAGTTTACGAAAGTTTCTTTGGGGGAGAAAATAGCTCCGTAGCTAAAAGCCAATGGCGTAGAAAGATCTAGGGGCCCTCTGGGGTAGCCCCACATTTGTGTCCTTGGGTGGAAGAAATCGAGTTAGTGTATGAGAAAGTGATCTGTAACTGTACTGTACTGAGCACATTTGAATTATTTCTCAGTCTTTTTTTTTAATGATCTCTTTGAGCCTTAGCTCCTTCATTTCCAAAATGAGGATATTTCATCCTGAAGTCTCAACTCCCTGTTAGCTCTAGAAGGATACGACTTTGCGGTTATCCAGCCTTCTCTTGGCTACTTCCTTTTCCATTGCTTTTGACAAGGCCCAGTATTGGAATTAGAGCCTCTGGTTTTGTGAGTTATAACTAGTTGTTGGTTTTATAAATCACAGATAGTGGCACACAAAGCCGAGAGTGTTTTCATTTGTAGGTGATGTACATTTCAGTTGCTAGTGATGTCTTTTTTTGTTGCTCCTGTACCCAAAGTCAAATGCTTCAAATCTTGCTTTTAATGAAATATTTATGTTCTTTTGGTAGCCAGAAGTACAACTTGCTGAAGGCTTTGATGTGTTTATGCCCAAATCTCAGCTGGACTCTATACTGTCGAACTACACTCGCTCAGGAAGCCTTCTGTTTAGAAAACTGGTGTGTGCGTTTTTTGATGACAAGACTTTGGCTAACTCCTTACCCAATGGGAAGAGGAAAAGAGGACTCAATGACAACCGGAAAGGCCTAGACCAAAATATTGTGGGTGCAATAAAAGGTTGGTCTGCATCATTTCATTTTGTGGGTTCTTTGTTAGCTTTGCCTTCATTCTATAAGGATGCAGCTGAAACTGCAGTAGACTGACTAGTGGCCAGTTTCATTTGCCACTGGCAGTTTAGCCATTGGCATGGCTTGTGGGTATGAGCTCTGTGATTCACCACCCCAAATACCACTAGAATTCATTATTCAAGATAATGTTAATGTGTTAAAATAATAATTTAAGAGCCGGTTTGATCTGCTGCAGAACCAAAAAGAAGCTTTTTTTCTTATGTGACTTTTAAAATGCAGGTAATTTGTCATTTCTAACTAAGAGCTTCCTCAAAATATGACGTCAACTTAAATTTTTAGTTATAAATGAGAATAAAACTATGATCCTTTTTAAAAAGAAAAAAATGATAAAGTAAAATGGTTCTCTCCAAAGTTTAGAGTTGCTTTACGAGGTTATTGCTTCTAAAGACATTTTAAATCTAAGTGACCTTACTGTGACAGCAAACCCTGTACGGCCCCACATGTGGCTGGCACGCTCTGCTCCCTCTTGTTTTGTGCCATGGAGTCATGCCAGCTCCATTCAGAGACCACCATGGGCCTCTTCTCCTTACCTCCTTTGAGCATGCATCTGTGTTCCACTGCGTGACGGTGGCCGCGCAGGGACATGTGGGAGCGCCTCTGCATTCATATCCAGTGCTACACCCTAAACCTACTTCTCTCAACTTAAAATGTCCATATTCACATTCAGGTGGCTGTAACTTTAGGAAATAGAAGTACTTAATTCTTACCAAAAAGAACATTAACCAAGTCTCAAATCTAAACACAGCTCCGTGAAAATGAAACTCTGAATCAGGCCTTGCTTAAAACTGGAATGACAGATAGGGGTGCGGTGCTTACTAGCTCAGTTCCTGCCTTGTACAGTTGTGAAGTGGGACTTACTCAGAGAGCTTTCTCTGCCCCCTCCAGTTCCCCATTATCTAGCAAAATGAGTAAATGAATTCAATAGTGTTTAAAGGATTCTTGAAAATCCACAATTAACTTTATAAAATAATACAGTTTTTAAATGGAACTAGCAAGTACCAGGCACCCTTTGTTCATGGTCAGGAGGACATAAGCCTTCATTAACAGAGAATTTCTCATGCACCATCAGAATTTTTTAACTAAAGTGACAGTTGAGTTGTATTAAATACGAAAAGCTACAGAGGTATCACAAACTGTGCCATTTCTGAAAAGAATGATTCAGGCTGAAGTGACACTAAAAACAACATGGCAGCATTTGAAAAATGGTCAGTGATGTACATAGGACTTCCTGAAGTGAAGAGGGGCCCTTCTCAAAATAGGAAGGTCAAGGCTACTGATGCTTTTCTGAAATACAGCCAGAAATGGTTTTAATTTTCCTTTTTTTTTCCCAGGGCAGCATATTAATATTATGAAAGCAGTTGGAAATTAGGGAACTGTAAATGACCGTGGTCCATTTTAACGGCAGTAGAAGAGTTATCCTAATGATAGATGGTAACGAAATAGATCGTGACAAGTGGTTCGATGAGGGTTTCTTCTGCCGTTTTCCATCTAGATTGGACATCATGCAACAGTTTGAAAAAGTATATTACAGGCCGGGCGCAGTAGCTCAAGCCTGTAATCCCAGCACTTTGGGAGGCCGAGGTGGGTGGATCACCGAAGGTCAGGAGTTCAAGACCAGCCTGGCCAACATGGTGAAACCCCGTCTCTACTAAAAATACAGAAAAATTAGTCAAGTGTGGTGGTGCACACCTGTAGTCCCAGCTACTCAGGAGGCTGAGGCAGGAGAATCGCTTGAACCGGGGAGGCGGAGGTTGCAGTGAGCTGAGATCACACCACTGCACTCCAGCCTGGGCAACAGAGCCAGACTTCATCTCAAAAAAAAAAAAAAAGGTATATTACAAATAGAGGACACACCTCATTTCCTCCACTGCTCTATTCTATAAATATGGCAATGAGGCTTTTGCTCCCGTTATATAATAAAATAGATAATTCCAATTGAAGAACTTAAAATTTCTTTATAATTAAATCAATTAAAATTCTATAATAACAACACAGTGACTTTTAAACAAATAGAAATCCCATAAGCTACCAGCAACCTAAATCAACAAATAGTTTATTTATTTGGAGTGTTTATTCATAGACATATAGACATATATTTTGATTTTGATTTTTTTCCTGATTACAAAAATAATACATATTTATTTTAAAATGCAAACGATTTAAAAATGTATGGAAAACAAAAAGGCTACTGTAATCTTTCTCACTCTTCCAAGGTTATGGTGCACATTCTTACAGTTTTTACTAAAATGTGAATGTGGCGTCAGATTTGACTCTTTTATAAGAGCATTTCTTTCATTCTGGTCAACATTTCTACCTGATTTATGCTGATGATTTCTTGTAAGTTGCTTAAGGACACGCTTTGTCTTAATTATTTTTTTTATTAACTGTTGTTCTTGAAAGAGCTCAGGAAATGCCACCTTAAGAAATGCTGCTTTGGTACACAGATTATTTCAAATTGTGGGTACTTGGGGAATAGCAGATGCAGGGAGGGGTTGTCTCTGAACTCTCTTATCTGCCCAAAGACAGATCCTCCAAAAGGAACTCAGTCGCGAACCCCCTCCCTGGAAGTGTCATGAACCAGAGGGAATTAGATCACAGGGCGAGGGCACTGGAGGTGATACCACACCCAGAGAGACTTTGTCACAGGCTGTCACCTGTTCTTCTGAGGGCCCTTTCATCGTTCCCCCAAACCATTTACTGTCCCCTAATTTGTCTACTCCATCTTCCCTCCCCTCTTCCTACAAAGAGGGTATGTAAGCTTCTAGGTCTCACTCTTCTTTCCTGAGGTGCCCCTGTGTACATGACAAATGTGTACTTTTCTCCTGTTAACTTACCTGCTATCAGTTTATTTCATAGACTCAACTGAACCCTCAGAGGGTAGAAGGAAAGTCTTCCCTACCCTGCACACATCACTGAGAGCTCACACAGACCAGGATTTCCGTAAATGCACGTGGGATGAGTGAAGAGGCATAGGTTTTTATTTTTCATCTTGACTTTGACATTAATTTATTGACATAATGGGCCTAGTACTAAATACCCATCCTCATGTCTTCTTATAACTCATCTGGAATGACTGACATTAAAACATTCTTGTAAATTTCTACCAGATAGTAAAATACTAATGAAAGCTAAACCGTATAAACCAAAATTGAATATAAATTTGAATACAACTCTCTTAACTTCCTAATACATTTTTTCTTAACATATTTTCCTTAGTTAAAAGTAGGTTAACCCACATATTACAATACAAAGTGATTTTAAGAAATAGCTATTGGCCAGGCGTGGTGGCTCACGCCTGTAATCCCAGCACTTTGGGAGGCTGAGGCAGGTGGATCACAAAGTCAAAAGGTAAAGACCATCCTGGCCAACATAGTGAAACCCCATCTCTACTAAAAATACAAAAATCAGCTGGGCATGGTGGCGCATGCCTGTAATTCCAGCTACTCAGGAGGCTGAGGCAAGAGAATCACTGGAACCTGGGAGGCGGAGGTTGCAGTGAGCCGAGATAGCTCCACTGCACTCCAGCCTGGTGATGACAGAGTGAGACTCCATCTAAAAAAAAAAAAAAAAAAAAAAAAGAAGTAGCTATTAATTGAAGGTCTGAGGGAATAGCTATATCCAGTTGTTTTTTTGCTATTGGTAGAAATTTTTTTAAAAAAGAAATTTCCCTAACCCGAGTCTTTCAAATCTGAGTAATATGGGAATGTGGTAAATGGTTTCTTCATGCGTAATAGTGCTGTACCAAGGCTGTCCTTGCTGTTCTTACTGTCTACCACCCCTTGGAAACAATTTTGTAAATATTAAATGTACCGGATTTCTTACTCAATCTTTCGTAGGATAATGTGCCAATAGTATATTAATTTGAAAAATCCTGTCATCTAGGAACATAACGAAGACTGGTTAATTTTACAAAATCTCAGAAATGAAAGTAACATTAGGAGTTCAAGTGATTATTAGATTAGTTAAAACAACAATGGGAAAAAGATGAATGAAAATCTATAAAATGCTTATAGGTAGGAACAGAAATGAACTGAAAAAAAGTTTGTTGTGGAGGTTATTAACAAAGCTTTTTGTAGTGGTAATTAATATTCCCCATGACAGTATCTTGAAAATAAAATATAAGCCTCTTTTGTAGAGATTGTATTTTTTACATAATCTCATCTGTTTTATGGTGACTGACAATAGTAATTCATTAAAAATTTGTTGGTAAGTATGACTCAAAGTATTGCTGATGAAAGAGTTTTTAATTAGAAACACTCACCTGAGCATTTTGAATTAACGAAGAAGCAGCAACTTATGATCTTACTAAGTAGAGTCTTAGGTTTTAGTGCTGGGGATAAAGCTTAGAATCTTGGATTTGATTTGGAGTTGATTTTATAGCCAGAGTGGAAGCTATGTTTTTCCTTACCTGCTGAGGTTAGAATTGGTCCACATCTAGTTCTTGCTGTGATATACTCAGTAGACCATGCAGATTAACGTGGTTAGAGTTGTATAAATATGGTAGAATATTTAAGTCTCTGAATGCGCTTCAGAAAATACAGTTGCAATGAAGCAATTTTTAGAACCACAGTTGTAGGATTTTTAATTCAGCTTCATAGTGATTAGTTGAGAAAGTTTTATTACTATCAAACTGCCCTGGAGTCTTGAATCTTCTTGCATTCGGTGGAAATTACATCTGCATGTCAAGTGAAGGCCTTGTTGGGGGTTCTTAGTTCACTCCACTTAGCACAAACTGCTGCTCTCCTGAGAAGCCAGCACTGATGGTCTGCCTGGACAGCCACAGGTATCAGAACTTCTCTGGGAGGGACACTCCTTGGTTGATAGCACTCCAAAAAAATAAGTGCCTTCTTACAAGATTAGAATGGATGCCTGGTCGCTTCTGCTGTCACACTTTCACAGGCTCTGCAGATATCACTACCAAGCCTCTTATTTTATTCTTCTGACTCTAGATACCTATAGGGTCCATTTGTTATTGTATAGTATCTCTATTTCCATTAGGATTTAATTTTTAAAAAGTGAAATAGCCATTTTCTATTTGATGTCACTTAGGTTTAAATTAATGTGGTTGACGTGGAATTTGCATCCGATTTATTTATTTCCTGATAGTAACTTATCTGTGTTCTCAGAACGCCTTATAAGAACAAGGCTAAAACATTAGCTTGGATTTGAGCATCCCTCCAATGCTGATTATTTTATTTCCATGTATAGGAGAGAACACTGAGACTATGAGAAGTTAAATAAACCCATTTAATTTAAACAACTAGTAAGTGGTGGAATCAGGACTTACCCCGAGGACTGTCTGACTCCAATGCTATTTTCCAGCACACTAAACACTTGAGTCTTTCTAAAGGGAGTATTTGAAAAGAAAGAAAGATGTCCCACTTTTTAATTTCTGTCTTAAACTTTACCATTTTGGATTCTTTATAAATTCCACTAGGACATACGAACGATTTCAGATGACCAGTTACTTATTTGTGCATAGCATATTCAAAGTGATTTTCTGGTTAAAATATAGCTAGACATCAATTTCTTTACTAGTGTCAGGGCAGGTCTTTTCTTGAAGATAGTAAGAATCAGTCCCATTGTGCTTGGGAGGAAAAAAGAAGTCTGATCCCTTCCGTCGAGAAAGAGATACTTCTGAGACACTTCAGTACATAAAACCACAAGGAAACAGCTTGGGAGTAAACACTTCATATACCTCGTGTTCCAAAGTTGTATGTAAATCAAATTCTAGTTTAAACGTTTGGCAATCAGAACCAGTTGACGAGTGCTGAAGGGAAGCATTCATCAATTGGTTCTGATTGCCAAACGTTTAAACTAGCTTTTGGGAAGATGATTCATCACCTGTTAATTTACCTTCGTATTTTTACATATCTGATCTGCTTAAAACAAGATATGTTTACATAATACATAACATCGGTATAATTACATCAGAAATATTGTTTGCCTCTTGGCTGCGTTTGTAACTCTCACCTGGTTGTTGTTGTAGTCGGTACTTTCCCACAATTTATGAAGGCCCAGTGACAAGGAGGTCATGTTGAATCTCGGCTGTTCTCTATCTGTAGCCCTCTATTTCCAGCCCCTTCCGTGGTGATTCTCATGTTAGTGTGCATCAGAATTTCCTGGGGTGTTGGTTCGAAATTCAGACTTATGGGTCCTATGCTCAGAGATAGATTCAGTGGGTTTAGGGTAGTCCCAGAAGTCGCATTTTGAACACACAGCCCCAGGGGATTCCGATTGCTTTCAGATGCCACTTGGAGCAGCAGCACAGTCAGAGCTCCCGAGTCCAACAGCGCTAACAGGTATCGATCTGAGTCTAACAGCAATGACGGGTATCAGCCCCAAGTCTAACAGTGATGACGGGTATCAGCCCCAAGTCTAACAGTGATGACGGGTATCAGCCCCGAGCCTAACAGCAATGATGGGTGTCAATCCCAAATCTAACGGTGACGATGATGTCGGCCCCAAGTCTAACAGCGATGACGGGTATCAGCCCCAAGTCTAACAGCGATGACGGGTATCAGCCCCGAGTCTAACAGCAATGATGGGTGTCAATCCCAAATCTAACAGTGATGATGATGTCGGCCCCAGTCTAACAGCGATGACGGTGTCAATCCCGAACCTAACAGTGATGACGATGTCGGCCCCCAGTCTAACAGCGATGACAGGTGTCAATCGCGAATCTAACAGTGATGACGATGTCGGCCCCCAGTCTAACAGCGATGACGGTGTCAATCCCAAATCTAACAGTGATGATGATGTCGGCCCCCAGTCTAACAGCGATGACGGTGTCAATCCTGAATCTAACAGTGATGACAATATCGGCCCCCAGCCTAACAGCGATGACGGTGTCAATCCCGAATCTATCAGTGATGATGATATCAGCTCCCAGTCTAACAGCGATGACGGTGTCAATCCCGAATCTAACAGTGATGATGATATCAGCTCCCAGTCTAACAGCGATGACGGTGTCAATCCTGAATCTAACAGTGATGTTGATGTCGGCCCCGAGTCTAACAGCGATGTCGGGTGTCAGCCCCGAGTCTAACAGCGATGACGGGTGTCAATCCCGAATCTAACAGTGATGACGATATCGGCCCCCGGTCTAACAGTGACGATCGGTACTGGCCCTGAGTCTTAAGAGCGATGACAGTTATCGACCTCAATTCTAACAGCAGAGATGGGGATGACATGGGTATCAACTATACACAACGGCCCCAATGAAGCTTGGGCTCCTTCAGCTGTTCCTCACCGGCACCTAGTTTTCTAAAGGCTGCTCCACCCCTCTTCTGGAATCAGTGAGAAGGAAGGTAGCCTTGTCTCAGCTGCCGTCATTCTTTGAACGTTGGGGGTTTTAAATTCTTTTTTTGTGTTGTATGACACAAGGGTCCTGGTTTCAGACACAGCTACAGGGCCTCACCAGGACTAGCTGGAATAGCTGCCCACTTCACCGAGGTGGAAGAAGGCGTTTCCAGACTCCAGCGTAGATCTCGCTTATGGATCACTAAACAAATGCCATTTCATTTGCCATACAACCTTGTTATGACAGTCTTGAAGAAAATGTAGAATCCGGCCCAGCGCGGTGGGATCACACCTGTAATCCCAGCACTTTGGGAGGTCAAGGCGGGCAGATCACAAGGTCAAGAGATCGAGACCATCCTGGCCAACATGGTGAAACCCCGTCTCTACTAAAGATACAAAAATTAGCTGGGCCCATGTGGTGCACACCTGTAGTCCTAGCTACTTGGGAGGCTGAGACAGGAGAATCACTTGAACTTGGGAGGTGGAGGTTGCAGTGAGCTGAGATCACACCACTGCACTCCAGCCTGGCGACAGAGTGAGACTCCATCTCAAAAAAAAAAAAGAAAAGAAAATGTAGAATCCCTTCTTGGCAAGCTCTTGGCCAAGGTCTCCTTGACTGTATATTTGAAGCACTTGTTCAGCTGACTTTTCCCCGAACAGTGTGTTACAGAAGATACCATCTTTGCTCCTTTTTAGATACTGGAGTAAGTCATGAGAACCCCAGAACCTTTGCAATATTTTCATTGATATCATAAACCTAGAAATCATCAGCAGGCATGAAATTTCTGCTAACAACATATTTATTGCCTGAGCCAGTGACTAAGGCATGGCCCTGATGTTAAGGAATGTGCAGTCTAGAAAGACATATCAGTGATGACCCCTAACAGAACCATGCTCCAAGACAAAATAAAATAAATGACAGATATCTATTACATGGCATGGGGAGAAGGAAGCACAGAAGATGTAATCTCACTAGGGGAAGGCCTCACCGAATAGATGATGTCTGAACTAGGCCTTGATTGAAGAGAAGTATATCAAATGCAGAGAGAATGGAAAAGATTAGCTACAGAACATGTTTAATGAAGCTTAAATTCAATAAAACATTGGGTGAAAACATTTTGCCTCCAGAACTGTTTAAGGCTCATTCTCATTGGTGAATCTTAAGTCCTCAGCAACCTACTTACCTTAATGTGTTTGACTTCATGGATATAATGCCAGTGAAATGGACTCAGAGATAGTTTACCTCCAAGCGTTTGAGCCAGAGCTGTGCTTCTTAAAGTTTAAAGTTGCTTATTATTTATTTTATTTTTTATTTTTATTTATTTTTTGAGACAGAGTCTTGCTCTGTCACCCAGGCTGGAGTGCAGTGGTGCGATCTCGGCTCACTGCAATCTCCGCCTCCCGGGTTCAAATGATTCTCCTGCCTCAGCCTCCCCAGTAGCTGGGATTACAGGCACGTGCCATCGCCACCACACCTGGCTAATTTTTGTATTTTTAGTAGAGTCGGGTTTCACCATGTTGGCCAGGCTGGTCTTGAACTCCTGACCTTGTGATCTGTCCACTGTGGCCCCCCAAAGTGCTGGGATTACAGGCGTGAGTCACTGCGCCCAGCCCAAAGTTGCTTCTTTTTTTTTTTTAATTGCATTTTAGGTTTGGGGGTACATGTGAAGAACATGTAAGATTGTTGCATAGTTACACACATGGCAGTGTGGTTTGCTGCCTCAAAATTGCCTTTTAAAGTTACCTTGGCCCCATCCCAGACCTGATGAATTCAGATCCCTGGGGCTGGGGCCACGGTGAGTCTACGCTTCACCACTCCTTCATCACCGTAAGCTCAGAGAAGGGATCTCATCTTCCTCAGAACGATGAATTCATAAGTTTACTGCATCAGGAGCAAAAATGGAAATGTGGAGAAACTTGTTAAGAAGGGTGTGGCTTTTATTGATCTTTCTTCAGCCTGTCACATAATGGGCAGGAACCAGTTGTGGATTCACCAGCAAGGATTCAACTGCAACCCCCAGTTACTGAATTCTTACAAAACCTGCCTTTTAACACCACCACTAGGACTGACAAAAACAGCCTCCTGTCAAAAGAGATGAGTTTCTGGAGCATAAACAGGGCCACTACAGTAGAATGTGCACCACACCACACTGTGGGCACCACTGCCGCTGCTGACACTGGATTTCATATTATTGTGACAGTTTCCCTGCAGCTGAAAGTACAGTGTCCTGAGGAAATACACCTTTCTAATCTGAACAGTGGCTCCATATGGGTTAGCTGTGGCCTTGAAAATAGAAAGCAGTGTTTTCTGCACAGCCCGTCTCTTTTCTATGTAACTCGCTGAATTGTTTGGCTCATCAAAGATGCTCACCAGCATCCTCTAATGCCACATCCTCCTATTTTCTCTCCCCTTGTGGGGAAGCAGAATAAGTTCAGAATCAGTCAGGTCACATTCCTTTTCTTCTGGACATACAATTGGTGCCAGTCATCTAGCAAATGTTTCATTTCAGTTCTGTAACAAATATTGACTGTCTCCTACAAGGTACTCATCCAAAATCTGAAAGACTGAGGAATTGGCATTTGCTAGTATTTCTGCCCTAAAGGTGCATTGCAATTGATCATGGAATACTCAAAAAAAAAAAAAAATGAAAAAAGTAAGAGTATATGCAAAACCCCTTAAAACTAAGAGTGTAAGAAAATCCCTTAGAAATCCGTAACCTTCATTTAAAATGGAACTGAAAGCTGCCATCGATTTTGGCTGCCTGTCAGACATTTTTGTATAAGAGTGAAGCACGGCTTTACCTATCTGTGAAAAACAGGCTTAGCAGAGAGAGGTGCTCCTTTTTGGAATTAATCGGGTCTTCTGACTGACTGCTGCCTCCAGTCTTCTGCTGTACGGACTGTGTTTCCAAGTTGTGTTTCTTGCATCCTGTTCTTGGTTAGATTTTGACACCTCTCCATGGTCAGCTCATAGTGTTTCTCAGAAACCCTTTTATACTCAACCCTAGCATCCTCCCATCAGCCCTGCCCCTTGATCACAGAGTAGATCCAATATTCGTTATTTTAAGCACCTCCCTCCTGACACCGCATCATCACCACACATACCATTTTGATCCACTTAGCCAGGTATGGCTACCAGGGGGGCCAATCCCAATTAGAAAGGAAGCCAGGATAGTGGAGACCAGGACGTACAGGACATTCAAGTTTACTGCAGGGCATGGGGCCTGTGCTGGCCTCTTTCTGAAGAGTCAGCAGTAACCCTGCTTACCTACACAGCAGTCACCTTGGTGGTGGCGTGGGCCAGCTAACACAGACACCCCCTCTCAACTACATTATTTTTAGCAGAGACGTCAACTCACTCTTCAAGTTTGAAAGCTCAGAAATACCTTGAATGCTTTTTTTTTGTTTCTGCAACTAACCCTCCTTAATTACCTGACCCTGTCAACTCTGTTTCTCCCTCCTCTCTCATTCAGTGCCCTTTGGCTTCTTTGACACCATCCTGTGTCAAAGAAGCTGTGCATCGCTCTGTCCTTGAAATTCTGCAAACACACTCTCGAAATGTCCCCCCTTGCCCTCCTTTCTCCTTCCAGTTCACACTGTACCCTAACAGCCTGTAACACCCATGAAACCAAATCTCGTGACGTCGTTTTCCTACTTACCTCCCTCTGGCCAATTAAACCTGAAGTCTGGCTCTTCCAAACCCTCCGCAACTTTAATTTCTCTGTCGTTGCGAACATATTTCCTGGTGCGTCCTCCCAGGTGAACCAGCCCAGCACCGACACTGTTCCTCAAGCACCACTCATTCATTCTGGACTTCATGTGATGCTGTTCTCTGCAGGGTCATGGTGCCCTTCTCTCCTCTCTATAGACAAGTCTGACTTGTTCTTCCTGGTGTTGCCCGTCTCATCCCCTGTACCGTGAGACTTTTTCAGGTGCTCTAACCTGTACCGATTGCCCCTTTCTCTGAGTGCCAGTAGTGCTTACTGCCTCTAGACGGCTAAGCAGTGCCTCTTAACTCTCTGCCTTGCTACTGGTGGCCTCTATGGGAAATGAGCATGTCATTTACTTCGCACACTGGGACACTCTTGAGAGTCAATATGGTGCTGTTAATTATCTCATTGGGAAAACAGGCGCTTTAAACTTGAACTTTCCTGGGCAGAACAGGATATATGGTCATGCTGTTTATATTAGAGTGTCTTGTCTTCCCAACACGACTATAACCTCCTGTGGGCAGAGATCATGTTTCATGTTTGTATGTTCCTTGTCCCGTGAAACAGCACCACTCACATAACTAATGATCAGTAAATATAGGAAGGAAGAAATCAGTCAATTTATCTTCTCTGAAAAAGATGGTTCCATATAAATCAAAACAGTGCTCCCACATTGGATGTGTACAGGGCATGAATAACAAGATAACTACACAACTTCTCCATGACAATTTGGAAAAGGGCAGCTGAAATCCAAGGAGGCAGAATATAAATTTGAAGATTAGAAGAAATAGCAGCAACAGACAGATCAAATGGCGTATAGGAATTAAGGGTAGTTTGGACTAAATCAAGGTTAAAGAAAATTAAAAAAGAAAGGAATTAAGGGTAATGTAATCTTGTTGATCAAAAACATCAGGGTAATCTAAATTAAAAAAACCTTAAGTTTATATTCAGTGAGGGCTCTGAACGCACTGATCATTGTTAAATATCAGAGAGAAACCTCCACAGTATGCGACGTGGAAGGTGTAGTTTGTCATGCTTTCATTCATACTAGAGAGGAATCATCCTCAAGAGATGAAGTATAATCATTTTATTGTGGGCTTTTGGTTTAAATAAACCTAATAATGTTATCCATAGTTAGGTTCAATGTGCTGTTTCCCAGTCTTCCTACCTGAAGACCTCTTGACAAATCCGTATCCTTTCCCTCCAGGAATATTTTAGCCTTTGTCTTAGCAGCTTGGTGCCTGAAAGAGAGAGGATCAGATAAAAGGGAACTCCTGTCAGCCTCAGAATGCGAACCCCAAGTTTTCCTGCAGCTGATCTCAGTGAAAAGGGAGTTGCCACCGTGTAAAAAAGAACAGGAAATTAAATCATACCTCTGCTGTTAGGACCCTGTCCTAACGCCCCCACATCTTCCCCCCATGTCCACGGTGGGACAGTGCATAGATCTCCACTGATGGGCGAGACCCCCATCCCACACCTGCCTTCCCAGCTCCTCACCTGTCCTTCTCCCAGCCTCTGTCACCTCTGGCTTGGGGTCTGACC